GGGGGGGGGGGGGGGGGGGGGGGGGGGTCAGGGCTGCAGCGTATGGATTGTGGGGGACACACGTTAGTCCTTAGCAGTCTCTATAGTTCTTTTTTTTCTTTTCTTTTTTTTTTTGAGTCGGAGTCTCACTCTGTCGCCCAGGCTAGAGGGCAGTGGCACGCTCCCGGCCACCACAGCCTCGACCTGCTGGTCTCTGGCGATCCTTCCGCCTCAGTTTTCCAAGTTGCTGGAACTATGGGTATACACCACCATGCCCGGCTGATTCTTTGACTTATTGTAGAGATGAGTTCTTGTCAAGTTGTCCAGGCTGATCTCGAACCCCTGGGCTCGGGCAGTCCTCTCACCTCTGCCTCCCAAAGTGCTGGAATGGCAAGCATGAGCCACCGTGCCCAGCTAGCAGTCCACAGTTCCTAAGACTTCCTAGCAAGGCCACAGCCCCCCGCCCTGAGAGGGAGGTGGGTGGGGGCAGTTGAGGACACAGGTGACTTCTCTCAGGTGCCCGGTGGTGGCATATGTGGAGCTGACAGCACAGCTCTGTCGTCTTGACTGCTTGCTGGCAACGGACCTGTCTGTGGCCCCTGCCCTGTGAGGCTGAGTAGGGGTGAGGAGCCAGGGGAAGGGCAGACCCCTCGTCCCTCCTGCTCTGCTGATCTTGGGGTGCAGAGGCAGCCCCGACACACATTCTGACAGGGACTGCTTGGCCCAGCACTGAGATGCACAGGAGGAACTGCCGTGCTTATTTCCTGGGCCTCAACCCCCAGTTGACTGAGCCCCGGTCCCGCCTGGCTGCTGACATCAGACAGTCATAGGGACCCTCTTCTGTGCCCCAGAGTAGAGGCCTCATTTCTCTCAGATCCGCTGCCTCTGTCTTTGGCGGAGCTGAGGACCTTGTGGCCAGTCCTCTCTGAGGTCAGAAGGTCAGAACCGACCAGCCCTTGGGCAGGGGTCTGTTTCTCCGGAGCCCACTGACCTCTGACCCTTTCCCGGCTCTGGGACCCCCTTCTGAGTCTGGGGGAGGCCCGCCCTCTCCCTGGCGCTCCCCCCGCTGTTCCTCCGGGCCTCCAGCGGCACCCCCAGCTTTCAGAATCAAAGCGGAGAGAGACATGTCTGGTGTCACCTCTGCCCCTGTCCTGTCCCAGCCTCCCCTGAGGTCCCTGCAGGCCACCTGCTTGCCAGTTGAGGGGGATGAATGCAGGGAGGAAGACGGACGGACTGCCTCTAAAATGACAGTCCTGCAGTCCATCTGCAGGTGAGTGGTGCTGTCCCGGCGGCTGGGCGTGCTGGGTTTAGGTCACGCTGGCAGTGAGGGGACGCAGAGCCCCACAGAGCAGGTGGCTGGGTTGACGTGGACACCCACTCTTTCTTCAGCAGATGGGGCCAGGCAGGTCAAGGAGCTTTGCCGACTGCAGAGTGTTGCTGCCCGTGTGGGCTCTGCCTGCCAGGCACAGCCTCCCCTGCCCCCGGCACTGCCTGGTCCTGCCTCCTCTGACCCTTGGACAGGTGCCTCCTGGGCCAGGAGAGGCCAGGGCAAGTGCGCCAGCAGCCCCGAGCCAGCCCCCAGCCTGCCGCTGGGCTCAGCTCCCTGAGTCAGCCCTCGAAGCAGCAACCTGGTACCCTGGCACCCTGTGGCCTCTGCCTCAGAGGATCTGCACGGAGCGGGGGCTGGACACGCATCTTGCTGCCAGGAAGGGAGTGCTGGAGAGCCCGTGTTGGGGAGTTTGCTAGAAAATTCTGTCCTCTCAGGCCGCGAATGTGGGCGAGGCTGGGGCACGGCTCCTGCCTCGCTCCCCCGCCATCGCCGCCCTGGCCGAGTCTGCCCCTCCCTCAGGCCAGCTGTCTCTGGCAGTCCTTGTCCATACGCTAGAGCTGTCCTTGTCTCTGCTTCCCCAGGCAGCTGATGGAGAACCAGATTGGAGTGGTGGAACGGGGTGCTTTCGACGACATGAAGGAGCTGGAGAGGCTGTGAGTATGCGCGGGTGGCAGGACCCCCCCCAGGAGGAGGGGTGCTGGCGTGGAGAGGGAACCGGGGGCGCTCGGGGGAGAGACCCCACGCCCACGGCCTTCACCTGCTGACGAAGCCCAGAGCAGCTGCTGCTCTGAAAGGGGTCACGGGCTGGGTGCGGGGGTGGCTCCGGCCTGTAATCTCAGCACTTTGGGAGGCTGGGGTGGGAGGATTGCTTGAGGCCGGGTGTTCGAGACCAACCTGGGCCACATAGCAGTATCCCATCTCTAAAAGAGAGAGAGAGAGACAGACAGACAGACAGACAGGCAGAGATACCTGAAGAGTGTCCCCACTCCACATTGTCAATGCCACTCTCTTTTTTCCTGAAAACGCGTGATGCCAAAACATTCGCATAATGCAGAGGAAGTAAAGTGTCTTCCTGTCATCTCATTCTGGGACAGAACTATCATCCATTGGTTTGTGTGTCCTTAAGGGAAGCTGTCAGTGTGCCGAGGGGACCCACAGCAAAGCCCTGGGTCCACCTGTGGGTCGGCGTCCTAGGCACACAGGACCCCAGCACAGACATGGGAGGGAGGCAGCGTGTTCTGATTTGCACGGTTTGATCTTTAACAGGACTTTTTTTTTTTTGAGTCGAAATCTCACTCTGTCGCCCAGGCTGGTGTGCAGCGGCACGCTCACGGCCACCCCAGGGTTGACCTGCTGGGCTCTGGCCTCAGCCTTCCAAGTAGCTGGAAGTACAGATGCGTGCTACCACGCCCGGCTAATTTTTGATTTATTGT